GACGGAAAACCGCGTGGAGCGATTGCGGAAGGTACCACAAACTCACAGGGAAGAATCTGGTGGGAAATGGAAACTGCTTACAAGCGTTGAAATTAAGAGACTTCAAGGATGTCAGAGAGGAGACCCTAAAATGAGATTCAGCAAGGAACAAGGCCTGAGACCTGGTGGAATGTTCCGGTGCTTGATTATCGCATCGAGGGTTCCACGCACTTGAAGATGTAAGTCGAGTTGCCCGACTACGTCGTCGTCTATTGTATGTTCGAACTCGAAGAAGGCCGATACGTCTACACTGGTGATGAAATCAGATATGAACAACCTATAACGAGCGACTATGATGAATGTTCAGTTGCCGTCTATTGTGCTGATCAATACTTATACTCGGTGCAAACTCATGGAAATAAGAAACGTTACGATTGCCACTGGGCACCGTGTGCTAACTCGAGTCTAGTGGATACGAAAGGGAAATAGAGATCCCACCAGCACCCAAGAAAAAAAGGACCCATCGAAGAAGTGGCTGAGGCTCAAACACCAGACTTCGGTAACTGGATGGGAAACATGGTGGCGGTCGCGTTCCACTTCCTGATTGGCCTTGTGGCCCCTACAGTGGAGACGTTGGCCCCGCTAGTAATAGGAGGCCTCGTGATCTATTATATTACCGCCATATCATCCTAGCGTGGTTGCGGGGTGCCTTTGCGTGGTCCGCACAGATGGAAGTGCAAAGTAAATATGAACAACAAATCGGGCGCGCAGGAATTGGAAGTTTTTACTGAGGTACGTAACCTTGGCTTTATTCAACATTAAGCTTTCTTTCGAATAGCATTACAAGGAAATCTAAGGCTATGTGTAGGATTTACAATCTATTCAAACCTATTCACTCCACGGATGCAAAAACGCCCAGATAGGCTCATATAACGTAGCCCATTCTTGAATCGGGGACAACAATCTTCTCTCACTTCAACGGAAGAGAATATTCGGGCTTTTATGGAGTGTTCAGAATAGTTTTACTCGTAAACTTGCTATGCGCTGTTCTGGCTTAAGCTATGAATTCATTCCTAATGGGATTCAACGTCGCCGTATTTTTTCTCTGTCAAGTCTCTCCGCTCGAAGAAAGGTAAACGACATTGTGATGGCTTTCAAAATCCTCAGCGGGAAAGTTGCGCTAGACGCCGACAGCTTCTTTACTAAGATCGCATCGAGAACTAGAGGGAGTGCTTTTAAAATCAATTTTGGTGGATAAGAACGCCAGGTTCCCACAACTATTTTTCTATTAGGAATTATACCCCTTCTTGACAATATTATTCGTGAAGGCAACTCGCTGTCCTCTCATTCAAGAATTTGAACAAAAAATGCTTCTAGATTCTTGCGCATTTCCAAATTGATTGCAGTCTTCGCTATTATTTTAATAGTTTTTCTCTTTTTTGTTTGCCTCACAAGTGCCTCATCATGTTGTTCCTTTTCCTACATTCCTAATGTTGAAATTATTGCTCTTACGGCACTTACGCGAGATGGAGCAAGTGGTTGGCTCATTTGTTATTTATCGTCACTTAACGTAGGCTCACTGTCTACGTTAATAAATGATGTATGTATGCAGATACTAACTCTATTTCCAGTGTTATTCACAATGCCAGGCTGGTGACGACCCCAATCGCAAAAGAACCAGTGTGAATGCTAGGACGTCAGCTGAAAGAATCCTTGCCGGTGTTCTGTGATCAGCATCCGGAGACTACTGAGGGTAGACTATGTACCTCCATCGCAACAGCTATTTCGTGTGGGATTGCTCGAAAGATCGATGTACTATGCATCTTGGGAGGACGCTATGGAAAGGAGCTAAAGTCAGAAAATCTGTAGAGTGTACCACTCTACTACGATGGAGAAAACACGATGCGGAATGGCCACAGCTAGAGCGGAGTCTCCGAAAAGAGTGCGCCTCTCCTAGGAGCTGAATCAACAATCGAGGTCTGGGTTGATAAGCAACATTAAGGCCATTAATTAATGTTCACCAACAGTTACTGAGTGTGCAAGGATCTGAGCAAAGCATAAACATATTTGAATGTTGCAGTAACTTTCTTTCTGACAAGAAAGATGAAAAGTTGCTGCGTCAAATACTTGTGCTGCTCTTATGTCGTCGTTGTTGCGAAATTCCCTAAATCCGCGCAACCCTACCGCCTTCTGTAGGGATGTTCCAGGATTGCGAAACCCATGGCAGTGTGCCATGCCCAAGGGCCGTCGTCTATCTTCAACAGAACAAAGCCGAATTCTATCCCTTCATCGAGCAGGCCACAGCAAGAAGGCCATCGCGGAACAACTCGGCCGATCCAGACCCTGCATCGACGGTTTCGCGAAGAATCCTACGGCTTACGGTAAAGCACACGGAGGAGGACGTCTACGCAAATTGACACAGAAGGATCGCTAGATTGACTTTCAATTTTGCTCCATCGCGAAGCCTTAAGTCGCTAGAAATCATTTTTCAAGAAACTGGATGAAGAGGTTTCTGACACATCTCATAAACCGAGGGATTTTTTTTCAAAACGTGTTATAGCATGGGCGGCCTTCTGTTTGTATGGAGCACTGAATATGGAATTCTTCTCCACGCACATGGATCAAGATGTTACTCAGCGCAGATTGTTTCCTTACCTCCACGATCACAAGGCAAAAAGACTCGTTCTCGACAGGATAACGCTCCTGCACACGTCTCGCGTTCAACTTGTGAATGGCTTGGAGACAACCATGCGGAGGAGTCCAGTATGACGGTGTATCGATGCTGAGAGAAGTCGCACTGAGTGCATGGACCTCAAATCCATGTTATTCAAAATCTTGTTGATAGTATGCCGAATAGAATGTTCGAAGTTAGTCGTAAAGGGTGGTCTAATTATGTATTAATTTTGAACCGGCTGTGCTTTTTTTCTGTTTCCTTTTCATCGGTGTTGAGGTATAGCATAAAGTTTTGACGCAGCACTCTTTATGAATGAACTGTTCAAACGAAGTCGTTCTCAAAAAGGTGCATGTCTCTTTTTTGAGTTTCTGATTCTGATACAGTCAACAGTTAGTGCACTATGTGACTTTGTGCAGAAGTTGGTAAGAACGAGATACAGGAGATGTGGCGGGAGGATTGGCTTAAAGGCAAAGTTCGGGCTCAGACCCACCTAAGAAGCCCTTACCATGGCTAGAAGTGCTGGGTACGCAAGTGCAAAGTAGCGCCACCTTTCTACATCGAAACGCGTCACGGACCCTAGGCGCCATGGACTTCTAACAGACTCCACCAAACTTAACATGGTCCGCCCACCGTTCGATATCTTGTCTGCGTCGCCACGTTGATCTGCTATGCTCTCTCTTCTCGGACTTCTCTACCACTCTCCGCGCTCACATTATCTCTCATCCCTGCCTGTCTTTTGAACTTCTCCACAGCATAGAGCAAAATGGTTGTATCTCCTAAGTATTTCAGGATTTCCTTCCCTTTTTCCCCATTGGCGGTCCACGTTCCATCCCTACGTTCACATTTGAGTGAACTCATTAATTTAATCCTGATTCTTGCCTTTAAGCAATTGACTGTACTGTACACACTGTATGGTTGTAGGCGATATTGTTCTTGTGCGCGCTGTGATTCCAGTGCTTAGAACAGGAGAAGGACGAGCTCTGTCCGAGCCTGGCCATTGGACGCGCTAGGTCGCATTTCTAGACGGACCATACCACTATTGCATGCGTTCTGAATGGCCACGTCGGC